AAAAAAAAAAAAAAAAAAAAAAATCCTTAAATATACTCACTAGTAACACTTCCCTTCATCTTTCCCTGAAAACGCTAAAATAATGGCTAAAAATAGTGATAAGTCTTCTAAACATAGTTACAAAAATGACAAGTTTGCAAAATGATTATTTTAGGAAGGTATGATTTTAGTTGCTAGCTAACTAATGTAACTACATAGATTTATAAATTAATCGCCCACTAGCTATCCCCATGATTTAAAAGTGATAGACATAAGTAGCCATTTGTAATACTGGTTTTTAGGGAGTAGGGTCAAGCGAGTGAGGGTGGAAAGAAGGCACTGAAGATTAATTGCATGGAATACACTTCACTTTCTACTATTCTTGCTCATCTTCACAGTAACTGGTAAACAAAAAGTTAAGAGAAAAACTGAAACAGAGCTGCTTTTGCAACTTTGTTTTTGTCATACCTTGCCCTAAGATTCTGAGGGAATAATTTATTTAATTTTTGAGACAGGGTCTCACTGTCACCCAGGCAAGAATGCGGTAGGCACAGCTCACTGCAGCCTTGATGTCCTGAGCTCAGAAGATCCTTTCACCTCAGCCTCATGAGTAGCTGGGATGAGAGGCACACACCACCAGCTATTTATTATTATTTATGGAGATGGAGTCTCTACATTGCCCAGGCTGGTCTTGAACTCTTGGACTGAAGCGATCCTCCAGCTTTGGCCTCCCAAAGATTACAAGCATGATCCATAGCATCTGGCCCAGAGGGAATATTTTAAATGCTGTCCTCTCTCTGGCTTATCCTCAAGCTGGCTTGACTTCAGATACTGAGAAGTGAGATAACTTACCAAACATACAGAGAGCTGCATTAGTCTCTCATTTGTGGATACTTCCTGCACCTGCTTACAGTTTTAGGGTTCCCCCAAATGACCATCTCCTCAGAACTTATTCTTGGATTTGCCGAGCAGTTGTCTTATACACTATTTGTGTAGAATACAGTGGGAGACATCAAATAAAATAAGAGGTGATTTCTGCTTTTCAAAAAAGTCATTTACAAATACCAGTAACAGCTTAAAAAGTAAGTTAGTAAGGAATGAGTGAACAGAGAAGATACAGAGATCAGAATGCCTTTAGGGTAAGGGTTTAGGAAGGTTTCATGACAGAAGAGATGATTAACCTTTAAGTTTTTGTTTTGTTTTCTTTTGAGGGAACTTTTTTTTTTTTTTTGAAGACGGCATCTTACTCCGTTGCCCAGGCTAGAGTGCGATGGCGCCACCTCAGCTCACTGTAACTTCCGCTTCCCAGGTTCAAGCAATTCTCTTGACTTACCTTCCTGAGAAGCTGGGATTACAGGTGTACGCCACCATGTCCACTTAATTTTTGTATTTTTCACTAGAGATGGGGCGTCACCATGTTGGCCAGGCTGGTCTTGAACTCTTGACCTCAAATGACCCACCCGCCTCAGCCTCCCAAAGTGCTGAGATTACATGCATGAGTCACCACACCTGGCCCACTTTTCTTGTTTTATTTTATTTATTAACTTTTTTTGTTTTTAATAGGAAGTAGTTACATATCACGAAGGCTTGTGAGCAGTGTTGATCAGTAGACATATTTAGTCCTAAAATGATGTCAGATTGAGGTGTTGAATAAATTTTTATCAGGTAGTACTTACTGAGCTCTTCTGAACAATTTTTTTAATTTAATGGTGTTAAGAGTGAGAAGTGATGTATCAGAATGGAGAGTTCTTGTTTGTTTTAGAGAAACGGGTTTTTGGTTTTCTTCAATACATTTTCATAACACAGTTTGTATTTCCTGTTCTACTTTGTGGTAATCAAAGCCCCAGCTTGGGCCCTCTTAAGCAGACCTAGGAGACTTTTATTGGATCATGAAGACAGGCCAGTAGCTGTGGTGTTGGAACTCATACCTTGTAGCACACTTTCGGCTCAGCAGCGATTTCGTGAGCATAATAATCTTTCAAATTTCAGAAAATGTATCATTTTCCCTTCTCATAGGAGGAGGAGAGGGATAGAAAAAGGTAGTAGGAAGGCATTAATAAAGGGGATAGTACAAAATCTAAGTGGTGGGAGGTTGCTGGTTAACATTTAGATTAGCAACTTAGTAAATTTTTTTTCCATTTTAAAGATACTGAATCGTCCATTTGAATTATGTGACCTACTTTCTCCATTTAAGCCTTTCAATGTAAAGAATGGTGTAGGCAGTACTACTGTCTTCAGCAAGATGTGACATTTCAGTTCTTAATTTATTTAGAAAACTACTGACATTGGAGGTGAGGAAAAATAGCGGGGAAAGGCCATAAGCCACCAGTCTGTTTGAGGGTGCACATTTGGAACAGGTGCCAGGAAGTCACCTAACTTCTTAGGCCTTGGTTTCTTCATCTGCAAAATGAAAAGGCTGGATTCAAAAATTACATCAGACTTTAGGAATCATTGCTAATCATTTGGCTTTGAATGGAGAGAAATCTTGATTTTTTTTTTTTTTTTTCCAACAGGGTCTTGCTCTGTTTTGCCTAGACTGGAGTGCAGTGGCACAATCTTGGCTCACTGCAACCTCTGCCTTCTGGGTCTAAGTGATACTCCTGCCTCAGCTTCCTGAGTAGCTGAGATTATAGGCACATGCCACCATGCCCAGCTAATTTGTATAGTAGAGACGGGGTTTTACTATGGTGGCCAGCCTGGTCTCAAACTCCGGACCTCAAGTCATCTGCCCACCTCAGCCTCCCAAAGTGTTGGAATTACAGGCGTGAGCCACTGTGCCAGGCCTCATTTTGAGTTTTTATTGAACTTAATTTAGAATTTCACTGTGCTGCTTGCTAATTGGTATCTAACATGAAGAGCAAGGATCAAGAGAAAAACAAATATCCAACTGTTTGCTTTTTCCTTTCCCCTTACTTTGCCATCTAGGATCAAAGAACAGTATGAATTTTCCCCTTGGTGACCTGGGGGTGGGAAAGCCAGGGAGAAACAAATGGTGAAGCTTCGTACTTTGTTTATTGACTTCCACCCCATGCCTTGTGTTCAACCATTAATGTAATCAATTTTTTTTTTTGAGACAGAGTTTCACTGTCACCAGGCACCAGGCTGGAGTGTAGTGGTGCGATCTCGGCTCACTGCAACCTCCGCCTCCCAGGTTCAAGCAATTCTCCTGCCTCAGCCTCCCGAGTAGCTGGGACTACAGATGTGCGCCACCATGCCCAGCTAATTTTTATATTTTAGTAGAGATGGGGTTTCACTGTATTGGCCAGGATGGTCTCGATCTCTTGATCTCGTGATCCGCCCCCCTCGGCCTCCCAAAGTGTTGGGATTCCAGGCGTGAGCCATTGCACTTGGCCCAATATTATTTGTATGTGATAGGCTACACTTTTGGCATCCCGCACCCCAGTCTAGAAGCACAACCTTCTTTTAACAACCTTGTTCTGATTAAGAGAATATGGACAGTGTAGGTATAAAATACAATTTGGAGTCTACAGATACCTGAGGGATAATCAGAACTTTATGCATATGCTTGTCCTCTTGAATTTTCTGTATCTATTTGAAAAATATTTATTCAAAATAAATTCCAAATGTAGAGTGTAAGCAAACTCAAAAAAAAATTTTTTTCTGATTTTTGTCACCGCTTTTTCTTAACTCAAAATATCTTGAGTAAATTTCTGATTATTCAGAGGTTAATCATTTGTAGTTATATATGCACTTGCCTCTACCACGTCTCTCTGCCTCCTGCATTAGGTATAATGACTTCTGAAATGATTTTGCTCTAGGAGGTTTAGTAAATTTTGAGTAAAGTGAAAATTTGTGGATTATCTGTGAATTGGATTGATGTTACCACTTTCATCCTATTGGGAGATACTATAGCTGCTGATTTTTAATGATTATTGTCAATTCTAAATTACAGATGTTAGAGCAGTGGAGTGGCAAAGAAAGTTCAAGTGAGCACTTTACCTAATATTATTTAATTGTAAGGTCTTACGAGTCTGGGCACCCAAACCCACATGGGAATGCCTAATGGATGCCAAACGTTAGAAAATCATATCAGATTATAATATATTGCTGAGACCCAGAAAAAAATATCATATATATTAAATATGGCATAAAAATACTCACATAGGGGAAATTGATGGAAAAGGAGGTTATTTTTAAAGAATAAGAAATTCTACACCTTGTGAAGATTAACATAAAAGGCATCATAATCTATGCTTTTGTTTGTAATAGTTGGAAAGATTTTTTTTGTTTTTTCTCTTTGTAGAAATGAGGTCTTGCCATGTTTCCCAGTCTTGTCTCAAACTCCTGGGCTCAAGCGACCCTTTTTGCTTTGGCCTCCCAAAGTGCTGGAATTATAGGTGTGAGCCACCATGGCTGGCTGGCAAGAATATTTTAGAACATAGAATTCGTTTATTTTAAACCTTTGTATTTCATTTTTCTCTTTCAGGCTAATTTATGTTTTGTGGACATTGACAACCATTTTATTGAGTTGCCTGAAGAATTTCCACAGTTCCCCAATAAAGTGGATTTTATCCAAGAACTCTCTGAGGTTCTTCTTCAATTTGGGATCCCTCCTGAGGGCAGCCTACATTGCAGTGAGAATACCAGCAAACTGAAGAATCTGGTTCTGAAAGACTTGGTCAGTGACAAAAAGAACGGCAATGTCTCCACTAATAACATCACCATGTATGAGTTACTAAAGGGCAATGAAACCATAGCTCGCTTGCAGGCTCTGGCCAAGCGGACTGGTGTGGCTGTGGAAAAAATGGACCTCTCTGCTTCTCTGGGTGAAAAAGACAAGGATTTAAAACTGCAGTGTGAAGAGGCAGAACTAAGGGACTACCAGCTCAATGTACAGCTCCGAGAGGTCTTTGCTAACCGCTTTACACAGATGTTTGCAGATTATGAAGCATTTGTCATTCAGACTGCCCAGGACATGGAATCTTGGCTGACCAACCGGGAACAGATGCAGAACTTTGACAAAGTAAAAAGAACCATAGTTTTCCTTTTTGTGGTGATTAGTGCCTTTATTACTGATTTTTAATTTTTTTTTCTTTTATGCCTATGCTTACCCACATATTATTAGTTTTGTTAACCTTTTTTAAATGTAGACTTTTTATCCTACATCCCATTAAGGACTTTCCTTTACCAAGCATTTTTGCATTAGATAAAATAATTTTACAAGAAAGCAAATCAGCCAGCTTCATTGAGCTGGTCATTAAATGGTGTGTTAAATTGCCTGTAATCTCATTTTAAATTTTTATTTACCTTGAAGATACTTAAATTATAGAAACTCAAGCCAGGTACAGTGGCTCATGCCTGTAATCCCAGCACTTGAGGAGTCTGAGGCAGGTGGATCACGAGGTCCAAAGTTCAAGACCAGCCTGGCCAATGTGGTCAAACGCCATCTCTACTAAAAATACAAAAATTAGTCGGGCATGGTGGTGTGCACCTGTAGTCCCAGCTACTCAGGAGGCTGAGGCAGGAGAATCACTTGAACCGGGGAGGCAGAGTTTGCAGTGAGCTGAGATGGCGCCAATGCATTCCAGCCTGGGCAACAAAGTGAGACTGTGTCTCAGAGACAAAAACAAAAAATTATAGAAAAACTCTTAGATTTTGCAGGTTTTCCAAATCCATTAATACTGTTTGACCTTATAATGGTTTTATTTGCACTTATTTTATGATCAAGTCTAGTTAAATAAGCCTACTCCTTTTTGAATAAATTTATATATATTTAGTCTTTATCCTATCAGGAAGTCACAACTTGTCCATGTAAATGTGGCAGTTTAGTTTCAGAAGCCAAATTTCTCTCTCATTCTAAGATCAAAGGAGAAAAAGAGTGACTAAATTAGATCTTATGACTGTAAGTTTAAAATGGTTCCAAAGATTTTGGTAAGGGAAGATAGAAAATGATATCAGCTTTCCATTGTCCTGTGAGGAGTACTGGATTCTTCTGCCAGGTTTTTTTCACCTATCTCCTAGATTTTTTTTTTTCCAGACAGATATACTTAGGATTATATATTAACTTTTTTAGGTTACCAGGGTACAGTTTGGTTCTCTGCCTCTGTGATTGCCGAGGTACAATACCGCTATTAGAATGTATCGTGGATTTCACTAAGTGGCATCTTTGTGCCGTGAAAGGCCGTCTGAAGGGGCTGATACATTCCAAGAGGCTAATCTACAACAATGGATAATTTTTAGAAATAATTAAAAATTTGCATAAAGGTACATAATGTCTGGGCATGGTGGCTCACACCCATAATCCCAACACTAGGAGGCTGAGGCTGGAGGATCATTTGAGGCCAGGAGTCTGAGACCAGCCTAGGCAACATAGCGATAACTCATCTCTACAAAAAAATTTAATATTAGCCAGGCATGGTGGTGTGCATTTGTGGTCCCAATGACTCCGGAGGCTGAGGTAGGATCACTTGAGCCTGGGAAGTTGAGGCTATAGTGAGGGAAGATGATTCCACTGCACTCCAGTTTGGGCAAGAGAGTGAAACCCTGTCTCAAAAAAATAAATAAATAAAAGATATTTTTTTTACTTCATCAGATATTTTTTCTGTTGGAGGATAATGTTGTATATTGAACAGTTATATTCTGATGTGCTTTGTTTTTCCCATCAGACAGGTAATGTGCCAACATGGTAACAAAGTTTGATAAAGGCACATCTCACACATGAGCATGAAAAGCCAATCACTACATTTATGAACTACAAAAGCATCCTGATGCACTTTGTGTTTGAGAAAACTTCTTTAATATTAACAAGACTTTCCTTCTTTAAGTGTGTTCCTGCCCTTAGGTTCCTTTCTCATGAATCTTAACCATTTTCCATACTTTTTCTTATCTAGCTTAGAACTAATCTGTGTATATCCTAGGTTTATCCTTGGGACAATTCAAATTCTTACCTAAATCAAGCCCTGATACTTCCTTCCTTCTTAATCTTTATGTAGCCTCAAACTATAAATGAAATTCTTTTTATATAACCCCTAAAGAAATGAAAATTTTCTGTTGGATTCCAGAAGGCTTATAATTATCTTTCACTAGGAAAATTTGCAGGACATATTTGTTCTACAAGCCACATCTTTGCTGACCTCAAATTTTATAGTCTGTGAGCGTCTGAATGTCAAAATCCAGATTTTTTTTTAAATGGCATTTGATCTATTAAAAAGTAAAATTGATATTTATTGGTGGAGGTGAACTGATTTCTAGAGACTACTATGACTGTTTCTGTGGTTATTTGGATTTATGTATATATACCTGAACTATAGAACTACTTAAAGTGAGTAAGTGGAATTCCATAAGGAAATTTTAAAAAGACCTCCTGAATTTCAGAATGAAAAATACATATGCTAGCAAGAAGCTGATGAATATTTTTAAAAGTCACCTTATGTCAGAACTTACCCTTTCATCTTTCCCCTTCTGGCTTCTGCCATACAAAAATAAAAACTAACCCAGCAACCAAAATAGGAATTTACTTCCAAATTTTAGCTAGTACTGCTTTGAATCTAGAATTCCTATACACAATGGACATGAAGAACAACAGAAAAAAAGTTAAAACTTTGAATTAGGAACTGATTATGATGTACTGAACCATCCCATGCATCAGACAGGCTAGTAACAGGAAAGGTGTACAACTTATTGTACATGTTCTCCAAAGGCTTGCTTCTGATGGCTTTTCAGGCAATGCTTTGTTTTTTTTGTTTGTTTTTTGGAAATGGTATCTCACTATATTTCTTTAGGCTGACCTCAAACTGCTGGGCTCACAGAGTCCTCCCACTTCAGCCTCCCTAGTGGCTGGGACTGTAGGTGGGCACCACCATGCCCAGCTTCCAGGCAGTGCCTTTTTTAGTTGTTAAGGCTGAGACTCTTGTGTCAGCACAAGTGTGGAAGGAATTTGACCTTGGCTTAACACTCATCTATTGGTTTCTAACAGAGTCTAGAAAAGCATTCCCTTGAAGAAGAACGAAAGAATTTCACCCATAAGCATAAATTTCATGTCCTTTTTTTTTTTTTAAGATAAATGCTGATGTGTTTATTGTATCAGTTAATCATCTCACTACCTTATGGCTTGAATGTATATTGCATAGGCTAAGAATAGAGAACAGAAGAAATTATAGCTCACTGGGGAAAGGGATAAAAATTTTTAACTGCAAGTAAAGTTGCTTGACAATCGTATAGCAACTTATCTATCTGCCATCTTTCATTAATGATGCCCTCTCTTCTACATAATGGTCATAAGGATCAGAATGTAGATCAGTTTTGTAAGTTAGGATTGGTGCTAGAGACCTGAGTGACCTACATTCTCTGAATTTGGGAAAATTGAAAGAAAAGTGGATTTTTAAGAATTTTTGAATTTAGAAGACTTAAAAAGAATGTCCTGAGTTAACAATTTTTTTCAGGCTTATCATAGAGTGTTGAGATGGTCTCTTTGCACTAATAATTTCCTAATTATCTCATTACAGGCTTCCTTTCTGTCTGACCAGCCTGAGCCTTACCTGCCATTTCTTTCACGCTTCATTGAAACACAGATGTTTGCCACCTTTATTGATAATAAAATTATGTCTCAGTGGGAAGAGAAAGATCCTTTGCTTCGGGTCTTTGACTCTCGGATTGATAAGATAAGGCTGTATAATGTAAGGGCACCTACCTTGCGGACATCTATATATCAGAAATGCAACACTTTAAAAGAAGCAGGTACATTTGCCATGCCTTTTAAATTAAATTAAAATCCATGGTCATTCTTTTTCCACAAATTGTTGGCCTTATGTACAACAAAATTAATTTTCATGGCTAATCCTGGTATTATATCAAGAAATGCTTTATAAATTTGTCTTTCTGTTTCTGTGAGTCCCATTCCTACTTGACATTCCTCTTCCCTTATCAGAAGAAGAAAAACATAGTAAATTGAATCAAGTATGACTGGCAGGTTGCTATGATTTTTGTTTTTGTTTTTGAGACAGATCTCACTCAGTTGCCCAGGCTGGAGTGCAGTGGCATGATCCCGGCTCACTACCTTCTGGGTTCAAATGATTTTTCTGCCTCTGTCTCCCAAGTAGCTGAGATTACAGGCACATGCTTCCATGCCTGGCTAATTTTTGTATTTTTAGTAGAGACGAGGTTTCACCAGGTTGGCCACACTGGTCTTGAACTCCTGACCTCAGGTTATCTGCTCTCCTCGGCCTCCCAAAGTGCTGGGATTACAGGCGTGAGCCACTGTGTCCAGCCTGATTTTTGTTTTATTCTCTTTATTGCCTAAATGGAAAAAATGTTAATTTATGTCTTACTAGTTATGTTTCCTTTTTACTTCTCACCTCTTCTTTATATCCAAGAAAGGATAAGTATTCATTTAAAACAGTAAATCTTATGTCCTGCCTAATTTACATAATAAAACAGTCTTTGCTTTAGTAGTGCCATTAATTACAATCACTTCATTTATTGAAATTAAATCTGAGTCAGGCCAGGCATGATGGCTCACACCTGTAATCCCTGCACTTTGGAAGGCTGAGGTGGGCAGATCACTTGAGATCAGGAGTTTGAGACCAGCCTGGCCAACATGGCAAAACCTCATCTCTACTACAAATACAAAAATTAGCTGGGCATCCTGGCATGCGCCTGTAATCCCAGCTCCTAGGAGGGCTGAGATGGGAGAATCCACTTGAAGCCCAGAGGCAGAGGTTGCAGTGAGCGAAGATGGCACCATTGCACTCCAGCCCGGGCAGCAGAGCGAGACTCTGCCTCAAAAAAAAAAAAAAAAAAAGTAAGGCCGGGCGCGGTGGCTCAAGCCCATAATCCCAGCACTTTGGGAGGCCGAGGCGGGTGGATCACGAGGTCAAGAGATCGAGACCATCCCAGTCAACATGGTGAAACCCCGTCTCTACTAAAAATACAAAAAATTAGCTGGGCATGGTAGCGTGTGCCTGTAATCCCAGCTACTCAGGAGGCTGAGGCAGGACAATTGCCTGAACCCAGGAGGCGGAGGTTGCAGTGAGCCGAGATCACGCCATTGCACTCCAGCCTGGGTAACAAGAGCGAAACTCCGTCTCAAAAAAAAAAAAAAGTAAGTAAATATGAGTCTTAGCCAGTCTTGTCTGGCAATATAATATAGTCCATTAAATATCATATTAATAACCAACATTTACAGTATGCACTATGTCAGTCATCATGCCAGGAGTTGTTTGTGAATTTTTTTTCTTTTTTTTGAGGCAAGATCTCACTTGTTGCCTAGGCTGGAGTGCAGTGGTGCCATCATGGCTCACTGCAGCCTCAACCTCTCAGGCTCAGGTGATCTTCCTACTGCAGCCTTTGGGAAAACTGGTACTACAGGCACATGCCACCACCCCCAGCTAAGTTTTTATATTTTTTATAGAGACAGGGTTTCACCATTTGCCCAGGTTATTATCTTACCTTGGTTGGTTTTGAACTCCTGGACTCAAGTGATCTACCTGCTTCAGCTGGGATTGCAGGCGTGAGCCACTGTGCCTGGCCCGGCACTCTTTTTTTTTTTTTGAAACAGAATCTCGCTCTTGTCACCCAGGCTGGAGTGCAGTGGTGCCATCTCAGCTCACTGCAACCTCTGCCTCCTGGGTTCAAGTGATCCTCCCAGCACAGCCTCCCAAGTAGCTGGGACCACAGACACACATCACCACGCCCAGCTAGTTTTCTGTATTTTTAGTAAAGACAGGGTTTCACCACATTGCCCAGGCTGGTCTCTAATTCCTGAGCTCAAACAAAACATCCGCCCAGGCCTCCCAAAGTGCTAGCATTACAGACACGAGCCGTCATGTCTGGGCTGGAACACTTATTTATATATTGTTTTATGACTGCCCACATTTTACAATTGAGAAAACTGAGAGGTTAAGTAACTTGCCTGTGGTTGCATAGCTAGTGATTGGTCGAGCCATGGTTTGAATCCAGATCTGACTGATTTCTGGCACATGAAGCCTTAACATCATGTTAGCTGTTCATTCAAGAAAGAACTATGTAAAATTTACTAGTCGACAGTTATTTTAAACATTTATGCCTGGTTCCTAACCTGCTCTTTGCCAGATAAACAGATACCTGTGACCTGACTGTCTCTCCCTTTTATTTCTTTCTCTTCAAATGCTGGAGTTATTTGACAGCAACTTTTCCTCTGAAGAAAAAAGAGGCAGCAAATGTGAAGCTTCCTTGATCTGCCTATCTTGCTTGTTTGCCTTTCCCACTTAACTTAAATAGATCTAAGTCAGGAATGAGGATGCTGAAGCTTTAGCATATGTAAGGGAGAAGTATGTAAATGATGTCTTTTATGTAACTATAGAAACATCACCCTGTTGTATTCCCACTATCAGGGTAGATCCTTGGAGCCCCTTCGGGAAGTGGCAATTACCTATGTGGTTTTGGAGATGGAGGAAGTAGAATAAATGAAATTGTCTATCCTTGTTTAGAGAATAAAAGGACTTCCAGTGCCTTAATAGCCATGTGAATAGCATAATGCCTTGTGAAAATTTCATTTCTCCCTTCCTGATGGAATTTTTTTAGATGGAACTAAGCACCAATACCTTAATTGTGTGCTTCCAGAAAATCTTTCCAATTAAAATAGATTTTTCTTTCAGCCTCTCAGAGAGTTTGGTACTCCTGCTGTCATCAGAGAAATTATATAATACTCTTGAAAATAAACCATTGTGGCCAGACTCGGTGGCTCATGCCTGTAATCCCAGCACTTTGGGGAGGCCCAGACGGGTGGATCACCTGAGATCAGAAGTTCAAGACCATCCTGGCCAACGTGGTGAAAACCCGTCTCTACGAAAAATATAAAAATTAGCTGAGCATGGTGATGGCTGCCCGTAATCCCAGCTACTCAGGAGGCTGAGACAGGAGAATTGTTTGCACCCTGGAGGTGGAGGTTGCAGTGAGCCAAGATTACGCCATTGCACTCCAGCCTGGGTAACAGAGCTAGACTCCATCTAAAAAAAAAGGGGGAGGGCAACATAAACTGATTCTGTGAAGTATTTACAAAGGCACCTTGTTCTTAAGTCACAAGATTAGCAGCTCCCACAGTGTGTTCTGTTTATCACGCAACTACCATTACTGCTTGTTCTTCCCTTTTAAGTAATTTCTAGGCAGAGGATCAGAGACCTAGTCTTGCTTCTAAAATATAATTTCTCTTATCAATTCAGTTGATTAAAATGTTTAAGATAAGGTTTTATTTGTTTGTTTACCTGAGAAATAATTTGATCATTGTTTCTTGGGTCTTTGAGACATCTTCCAATATCCCTGACTTTTAGTGGTTTTAAAATAGAAATGTTGAGTAAGCCTATCTTAACACTGACCTATTTTATTCTTCAAAAGGCCAGTTTCTTATCCTCTGGACATTTTCTAAATGCCTGCTTATTTGACTTTTTGCTGTATTACCCACTCAATCTAATAAACACTCCTAAATGACTTTTACTAATGAGAATGTGACTGCTGCTAAAAGTGAGGTAATAAACTTCACACAGTTCCTTGTTTTTACAGATGGAGAACCATGAATATTTAATAGGTCTTTGCACAAAGAAAAAAAGTTAATAAGGCCATTGTGCTTGCTTCTTCCTTCCCTTTACCTTGTATTTCAACTCAAGGAAAACATTTTATTTGCTATCATTTTCTTTAATGTTGTACTTAGAACCTTATTTTTGTGTAAGAATATTGAATTTCTCACTTAAGGGACTGTTTCAATCAAAATTGTATGTTTTTCAATCCCACTGCCCTCATTTTGACAAAGGCAGAAAAATACCATGAAAATTAATCATCCAATATTTAGTTGAAGTTAACCTTTTTATATTCATATTATACTAATTTCTGAAGAGCCTTTGAAAAAATTTATTTCAAGGCCGGGCACAGTGGCTCTTGCCTATAATCCCAGCACTTTGGGAGGCTGAAGAGTGTGGATCACCTGAGGTCAGGAGTTCAAGACGAGCCTGACGAACATGATGAAACCCCATCTCTACAAAAAATACAAAATTAGCTGGACCTGGTGGTGCATGCCTGCAATCCCAGCTACATGGGAGGCTGAGGCAGGAGAATCGCTTGAACCTGGGAGGCAGAAGTTGCAGTAAGCTAAGATTGTGCCATTGCACTCCAGCTTGGGCAACAAGAGCAAAACTCTGTCTCAAAACACACACACACACGCACACACACACACAATTTCAGAATGTCAGAGTGATTGGGTTCTCTGTAGGTGCATGAGTGGAAGAAGCATTATTTTTGAAGGGCTAGCAATGAAATGTCTCTAATTTATTATAAATTTAATTTGTAGCCCAGTCAATTGAGCAGAGACTGATGAAAATGGATCACACTGCAATCCACCCACATCTACTTGATATGAAAATTGGTCAAGGCAAATATGAGCAGGGGTTCTTTCCAAAGTTACAGTCCGATGTCTTGGCAACAGGACCAACCAATAACAAGTAAGCATGTTCTTCACTTGAGTAGTTGGTTGAAGGAATGAATGAAGGGTGGGATGCTCTGCAACTCAAATGGACAATGCTTAACTATTAAAAATCTACCTGCTTAATTTTTTCAAAACCACATTAATGCATTTGAAATATGGATTGACATTTCTGTGAGTACTTGACCTTTAAATTCATCATTTAAAAAAAATCCAAAGACTAGACTTTTTTTTTCTTTTTCAAGCAAAGTACACTTGGAAAAGCCACACTTTAAATGGCAATTTAAATATAATGATAATACTGTCTAATGGAATTTAGAAAACTTAGACCTTTATCATCTGTATTAGTTTCCTAGGGCTGCTGTAACAAAGAAACCACAAACTCAGTGGCTTAAAACAACAGAAATTATTCCTCCACAATTCTGGGAGCTAGAAATTTGAAATCAAGGAATTGGCATGGCCATGCTGCCTTCGAGGCTTCTAGAGAATGATCCTTCCTTGCCTTTGCCAGCTTTAGGAGAACATGAGAGCTTAGCAACACCCTGTCACACCAAGCTAATGAGATCTTTCCAGGTGAAAGAGCCATCAAATGTCTCACCTCTGCCTTAAACTGGGCTCTGTTAAGAGGAGTGCTTCCAGAGAAGACAGGGTAGTACTTTGGGTAGCAAGATACCTTCTTAGGCTCCATCTTCCCTCTTGAAGAGCTAAAGAGAAAAATTTTTGAAGAGAAAATTTTAGTACCAGTATCCTTTTAAATACTTTTAA